TAGAAGAAGGTAGCGGGCCGAGGTGCCATGAAGGAAGAGGGAGTCTTGGGAGGTCTAGGTTGGGAACCACTTTGGTCCATGACTCGATGAAGTTGGAATCTTGAGCTGGAGTGGCCGGTACATCCGAGGAAAAGCTCGAATCCTCCTCGATGTGACGGCCGTGGTGGTTCGAGCCAAGAGCCGTGACGCTTGCCGGACATGATCAGAAGGAGTCTTTTGGTGGAGGTGGGTTCGGCTAGATTTGGGGTTTGGAGATTGGGTAAATGTATTGAGCGTTTGTGTAATTGAATTTTGTTTTCCAGTCTCTTTATTTTTACTGTTTACCTCTCTGTCCTGATTTTGCTTTTAACATCTGTTAAAGTTTGTTTTTGCCGAAAAAACAAATGATTAAACTACACGAATGGTCTCTTTAGTTTTTGGTCTGTTCTATTTTGATCATAAAAAAAAAAAAGACTAGACAGCCTTAAACCTTTCTTTTAATGCTCAATATCAGTCAAACTATTAACGTGTTCATAAGTAGTGTTTTCATCGTTAGAAACTGTATTGCAATGATAACTTCATGTACTTGCTACTGTTTTTGTTATAAGTTTTAGTAATGAACTAATGATCCGTTTCTTGATTGTGAATTAAAATAAAATGTCTCACTAGAGTTGAGTTGTCTGGTTTACTTCTTTCCTAATGCAGCTATGGTTCGGAAGGAAATACAAGATGAAACTGATAGGATGACTGGGAAATCAAAACAGATTTCTCCTGTACCAATTCATGTCAGTATATATTCACCAAATGGTATAGCATTAGAATTCGATTTCTGTTAAAGAAGCTTAAAACTAGCCTCTTAGATTCATTTATGGTATCCTTGTACTATTAGTAATCTTGCTTTCTATTATTAACAATTGTAGTTCATGGTTTTGCAGTTGTCAACTTAACATTAATAGATCTGCCTGCTTACGAAGGTTGCTGTAGGTATACCCCCCGCTCTCCTAAAGAATTTTCTCTTTCTGTTCGTCTGTCAGATTGTAAATAGAGGTATTTGTTTTTGGTAGAGGACAGCCAGAGAGTATCGTTCAAGACATAGAAGCATGGTTCGCTCATATGTTGAGGTAACAGTAAATTTCCCATTTTAACAATAATTTTTGCTGGATGGCAGCTAGAAGAGTACAATTAATTGCATGCTTCCAGGATTTGTGTAATATACTTTATAAATTGAAATTGTCCTCACGGCAGTACATGATGCTTTAGTAGGCCTTAGAACCAATGCTAAAAGTTTTCTTTGTGGTAACTCTATCTAATCTGTGGGTAAAATATCTATTTGATGTTGTTTGTTTGTTGTTAGTTCCTTTTTTCCAATGAATAATCAGTTTACTATATAAGCTAGAATTTCTTAGACCTTTGGGGATTCAAATGACTGGTTTCTCTTCTCCATTGATTGCAGCCAAACTGCATCATTCTGGCCATAACTCCAGCTAATCAAGATATAGCGACATCTGATGCTATGAAGCAGTCTAGAGAAGTAGATCCTGCAGGTGTCTGTCTTCTTATCATTGTTGGTTACAGTTTAATTGGACTGTCTTGTAAGAATAGTATCATAGCCGTTGTTAATTGTATTAGGTGAAAGGACATTTGGTGTATTAACCAAGCTTGACTTGATGGACAAGGGAACAAATGCTATAGATGTAAGGTTTCTTCCTATTTTAATATGCATCGAGAGTATGTTTATAACTTGACTGGGATTTGCTGCAGTGTATAAAACCTAACCAAGTATGTATTTTGTTAGTTTAACGATGAATAGGATCGTACATATGGCCTATTTGTTCTTGCCCAGTTTACACATGTTTACTTTTCTTCTTCTCTTTTCTTTTCTTTTTAAATGCAGGTCCTTGAGGGAAGAGCTTATCCACTTCAACACCCTTGGGTTGGAATAGTAAACCGTTCACAAGCTGATATTAACAGAAATGTTGACATGATTGCCTCTAGGTGGAAGGAGCGCGAGTTCTTTGCAACTAGTCCTGATTATGGACATTTAGCTAGCAAAATGGGCTCAGAATATCTTGCAAAAGTTCTCTCACAGGTTTTGTTTCCTGGTTATTTCATTATTTCCATTTCTGCATAGCATGCCTATCTACTTATTAAAATATTCCTCTGGTGTCAGAATTTGGAATCAGTAATTAGAGCCCGGCTTCCTGGCATTACTTCTTTAATTAACAAAATCATCGAAGAACTTGAAGCAGAATTGTCCCACCTCGGTAGATCTGTTGCCATTGATGCTGGGGTAGCGAGCCTCTGAACCGCTGTCTATTTTTTTTGATATTGGGGTATTCATAGGTTCCATTAATAAATTTATTTTTTATTGCTTTTATATATATCAGGCTCAGTTATACACCATCCTAGAGTTATGCCGAGCATTTGATCACATATTCAAGGAGCACTTGGATGGAGGGTACTACTTTTTAGTTCTCATTTTACTCCCATTTTGTGCAGAAATTGCAGTGCAAATTAAATATATAATACAATCATAATTCTTTATCATCCTGTTTCAATCTTTCTCTAGGCTACCAGGTGGAGACCGTATCTATGGAGTTTTTTACCACCAGCTGCCTGCTGCTTTAAAGAAGCTTCCATTTGACCGTCATTTGTCACTGCAAAACATTAGGAAAGTAGTCTCAGAGGCAGATGGGTACCAACCTCATTTAATCGTTCCTGAGCAAGGTTACCGGTGTCTCATTGATGGTGCACTTAGTTACTTCAGAGGCCCAGCGGAGGCTTCTGTTGATGCTGTAAGTTCCCTTCTCAAGGCGGCATTTTCTTGTTAATTTGGTTAGTTCTCTGTTATAATTGGCATAGGGCCTTTTGACTACTTCTTGGAGGTAAGTAGAATGGAGAGGGTTTTGTAGCCTTGTAGGCGTTTTCATTACAGAGGCTTGAGGGTTCATTCATGGTACCAAAAATCTATTGCATTTTTGTTCTTTAAAAGTAGTTCATCTGCAGTGACTAGCTCCTTTTTTCAGGTACACTTTCTTTTAAAAGAGCTTGTAAGAAGGTCCATTGCGGAAACTCAGGTTAGGAGTTTGAAACTTCACTACCTTCTTGGATGAAATAGTGATACTTTAGGGATAACGGAAGAGCGAAATTTCATCTTTCGGAATTCAACAGGAGTTGAAGCGCTTTCCAACTCTCCAAGCTGAAATTGCAGCAGCTGCAAATGAAGCATTGGAGAGGTTTCGTGAAGAGAATAAGAAAACAACTTTGCGACTGGTGGACATGGAGTCATCATATTTGACGGTGGATTTCTTTCGGAGACTCCCCCAAGAAGTGGAGAAAGGTGGAAACCCGACTTCCTCATCTGCAGATAGTTACACAGAAAACCACTACCTGCACATACATCATTTTCATTTTGAAACATCCACGTGACACCCACTCGGTAATTTGGTTGTGAACGGATCCATTCGGGTAACGAGGTTTGTTGCTGACTAGTTTCCATTCTTTTCTTGTAGGGCAAGCAACTGGCAAAGTTATTGGATGAAGACCCTGCATTGATGCAAAGGAGGCAACAATGTGTGAAGAGGCTTCAGTTGTACAAATCTGCAAGGGATGAGAGTGATTCAGTCTCATGGGCCAGATGAGACGCCCTACTCCCCGCTAAGAGCGTTTGCATCACCGCTATTGAACGAGGGGACCGGAGAAGGTGTAAGTTCAATTTTCAACTTTTGTTGCATTTTTTCTTGTGCAGCTTTTGTTTTCCAACCAACTAAAACCTAAATATTTTTCTATAACATTCGTCTATATGCTTTTACTGTTTTCCTAAACCAGTGTCATCGTTATAATGCTTTTGTAGAAGAGTGAAGTAAATAGCTTTCTTAGTCTACAGTAAACCGGAAGACTCGCATACGATCGTAGAAGGCTCTCTTTTTTTCCTTTTGAGTAAACTATTTATTTGGTCATTCACCTATTACTTAGTTTATGTTTTGGTCACCTATTGTAAAAAATTAATGGTGATACTGATGTAATATTTTTCTTATTATTTTCCATGTTAATGTGAAATTATCTTATGATGACAGTTAAGTTTTTTAAAGGTGAGTGATCAAAATCAAAACATATCATTAGATGTGATTTTAAAAATAAATATTGAGTGACCAAAATAAAAACTAAGAAATTGGTGGGTGGTCAAATAAATAGTTTACCTTTTCTTTTACCTCCTAAACATGGCTTCCTTTTCTTCCAAGAAGTTTTCGGCCCTCGGCAGATCAGGGAAGAGAGTAACAGCGATATCAGTGTTGTGCCTTCAACTAAGGGTTTATCTAATTCATGAATATGAATTTTTCTTCCAGTAAAAAAATTATTAAATTGTTTTCTTATAATTTTTTTTTGCCTTTCCGATTTTAAGGTTTTGTCTTGACTAATCTAGATTGATCCTCGTCGCACACTTGATTTTGGTGGATGAGTCTCTAGCAACAGATTTTTAAATATTATAAAGACAATTATTTAATTAGTTCAAATGTTGAATATATTTAATTTTTTTTCATTTTAATATTTTATCTATTATTATTGTTTGATATAAGCTTCTATGGTACTAGTTCTCGTATTATATGTACAAATATAAAGTTTAGTTAAGATGTTCAGTCATGGCAACACATAAGCAATAGATTTTCAACATGCTGTATACTCTTGTAAAAGAAGTAATCTTCCTGTATTCGACTGTTCTGCAAATCCCACCAGCTTTTATTTCTTATATCTTTAACCAACCACTTACTTTACCTTAAAATATATAAAACTACTTTGACAAAGCTCCCATTGATTAGATTAGGGTCGATGTCACCGTGTAAATAATTTCTCAGTGCTGGGCTCATTTCGTGTTCGACTGCATGAACCGACATGGCGAGGCTTCTTTGGTTTATATTTCAGAAGAATTCACCTAAACTTTCTTGGGTGTAAGAAACAATTAGCTAAAAATATTTTCTTGGATTGATGAGTTAGCAGTTCAAGCTTAGGGGCCTATAAATATCCAGCCCAAACCAGAAGCACCAGTCACCAATTCAAGCTAAAGGTTATACGCAAGAACAGCGATGGCTGGAAGAATCGAAATCTCGGTTATGCTTCTTCTATTGATCGCAACGACTTCGAATGCCGCCATTTCGTGCAGTGCCGTGATCAAGGACTTGAGACCATGTGTGAACTATCTGGTGAAAGGGAGCGGGAAACCGCCGTCAACTTGTTGTGCCGGAGCGTCTGCTCTGGCATCCGCGGCGACGTCATCGGCTGACAAGAAAGCTGCTTGTGCGTGCATAAAGTCTGCAGCTAAGAACATGAAACCCAAAAACGACTTGGCTCAGGCTCTTCCTTCAAACTGTGGAATCACATTGCCCGTCGCCATTTCACCGAACGTCGATTGTTCCAAGTACGTAATCCCTCGAAAAACTTGAAGAGAAAAGAATGTTCATCGACCGTTTTCCATATATCGATTCACTGTTCTTATCTAGTCGGCGTTTCCTTTTTTGCAGGGTTGGTTGAGAACTGGAAGTGCAGTGGTTGGACACATGAAGTAATCGAAACTCCGTTTTATAATGAACTAGAATCCTGCCTTGGTATTTGGATTCCTTCGATGAATAAAGCTTGATATCATCATCTACTGTTTCTGTTTTCACTTTCTCTGGTTTTATGTATCTGTGATCATGTCGTATTCAAATATTTTATTATTTTACACTTTGTATTATATTTATGGAGTATTTTAATGTTGGATTTCCCTCTGTACGTTATTTTTACCACATACGACAAATTTACTTGTATTCAGTGATGTAATATTAAAAATTAATTAATATCGCATTAATTAATTTATTTTAATGATTAAAAAATTATTATTATTTTTAAAGATTACGAATTCAAACATCAATCATTATAATAAAATGATTAAACGTTTATTATCGAAGAGTATGACAGGTACAAATTATATAAGAACATGTAAATAACCTATTTACAGAGGATAGGCGGAAGTTCCTATCCAATTACACAGAATCGTGTTTTTTATTATTAAAATTTAAGTTGAGTTAATTTTTTTTAGATTAGTGGAATTTAAGTTGGGTTAATTTAAACTAATTGAATCTCATACATTATTACTGCAAATAGTACAAAATATTGGAAGGAAAGTAAAATGTGATTGAACCGAAGTTTACCGAGGGTAGAGAAAGTGATCACACTGAGCCAAGCGGCCATGTGCATGATTAAGCCCCACCGTTTCCATTTGTTTAATGCTGGTCACCTGTCGGTCATAGTGACGGAGTAGGTGGTCCAATCCGACATTTCTAATAGATATATTTGAACAAAAAATATTGGGAAAAATGTTTGTTGGCAATCACGTTTCAATCTATATCTCCATCTGAATGCTCATGTATAATCTACCTTCTATTCCTATTTACCTCTTATAATCTCCATAACTGATCTAAACTATTTAGTGTCGGCAGGTAACTCATCTGAAGTAAACTAGGCAGGTAACTCATCAGTTTATATCTTAATTTGATCTCTTCTATTTTTGGTAGGAAACAACACACTACCTTCACTCTAAAACAAGCGTCTTTTATTGTTAATCTGTACTCTCTCTCTCTCTCTCTCTAATACTCTCCACTCATTTTGTACTACAGAGATCTAGACTCAGTTATTCAACCAGAAGGGCTCTGATTTGGAGCTCTTCCTTTCCGCCTTTCTTCTGGGTATTTCTCTTTGATCCAAGTTTCTTCTTTTAAGTTCAAAGTTCTTTGCTTTTTTTTTCTTGTTTGATCTGCGTGGACCTATCAACTGTTGCTTCTTTTAATTAATGGATCTCTCTTGTTCAGTTTATCCTCTGTTCTTTTATGTGTTTTCAGCTGAAAGATAATGTGAATTTGTTGAGATCAGTTTGATAAAAATGCCTGCTGTTTAGTTAATTTCTGAGGGTTTATGTTATGGATATTCATGCTGAGCTCTTCTGGTATTGCTTTTGAGGTTGTAAATCTTGTCTGTTTCTTGTAGATCAGTAAGTGTAAAGGAACTTTTAGCTTGTTGGAAGTGCAGTGGGTTAGTCTAAGAGCTTTAAAAGGGTAAAAAAAATGTAAAACTTTAGTTGTATTGCTAGGTGCTTGACTTGATTGTGTCTCACTGCTCTTTCTGTTCAAGTTTCTAAATGCTTGAAATCCTATTTTATACATATGTGTGTATGTATATCATAGATTGAGGCTTTCAATTCTGAAGATATCAAACTGTTGATAATGAGCTTCAAATGAAATCCTTTGTTTTAGTTGGGTTTGGTTATTTCGAACAATTATCGTCCGCAAAGTTGAAATTCTAATTACTTGGTTTATTTCTTGAGATTAGAATTGATCTAAACTCGAAGGATTTTAAGAATATTAGATTTGGATTTAATTTTTTTTGTATTTATTGGTTGAAGCAAGTTCTCTGTATCATTAATAACATTTGTGCAATTCAAATTCTAGGACTAGTTTCTCTTACATCACATTTTGCGATGTGCAGCTCTGACTTCGCCTTGTTTTTCCATGGAATATAATTATCTCCTAACTTTTTCTTACAGTGTGCTTTAGGGATTTTGTTTAATCATGGTATCCAAGAGCAATCCACCGGGCAACAAAAAACGGAGCCCACTATCTATATTTGCCGTGATTGCTTTGTGCGGTTTTTTTTATATTCTGGGAGCATGGTAGAGAAGTGGTTTCGGTAAAGGAGATAGCATAGCATTGGAGGTGACCAAGCAGACAGAATGCAACTTCTTCACAAATTTGAACTTCGAAACACATCACAATGATGTAGAGATTGTTGAGCCTTCCAAGCCGAAAGCTCAGGTGTTTAAGCCATGCGATGTGAAATACACTGATTACACCCCTTGCCAAGAGCAAGACCGAGCCATGAAGTTTCCTAGGGATAACATGATTTACCGGGAAAGACACTGTCCTCCTCAAGAAGAAAAGCTACACTGCCTCATCCCGGCACCCAAAGGGTATATGACACCATTTGAATGGCCAAAGAGTCGTGACTATGTCCATTATGCTAATGTTCCTCATAAAAGCCTGACAGTTGAGAAGGCTGTCCAGAACTGGGTACAGTTCAAAGGGAACGTGTTTAAATTTCCTGGTGGAGGAACTATGTTCCCTCAAGGTGCAGATGCGTATATTGATGAGCTTGCCTCAGTCATCCCGATAGCAGACGGTTCTGTCAGAACAGCGCTGGATACCGGTTGTGGAGTATGTTGTTTTCAATAATCCGTTATACATTTTTTTAGAATTTATGATGCCATTATTCATGTGCTTTCTTCAGCACAGTGGGAAGTATTGACGGTTGGAGGATGTTTAGTAATTTACAAAGCTACTTATTCGTTACTGATTTTATACTTTTGGAGATTGTGACCTTATTATTTGCTTTGAGTATCTGGATCCCATAAAATAGTGTATATGAGCATGCTCTTTAGTCATTGGATATACCATAGTGAGGGCATATTCAATCATTTGGGCTAACACTTAGTCCTCACTTGATAAGACCCCCCCCCATAGATGTTATGTTCCATAGGAATAGAGTTGTTGGTTAATAGTCTTTAGGAGAATTCGGATCATATAAGTTGTTGCTGATGAATCTTCATTAACTTACAAGTTTTGCTTTCATCGTTTGTTATGTTTTAGTCATCACATATACTCTTTATGCTATTGGAGCTGTCTTATCGGACACAGCCTGCCTGTATAGAATACTTTTTTATGTATTTATGCTTACAATCATCATAAGAGCATCTACTTCGGCATTTTTACTCGGTATAAATACCTGCACAAATATAACAAATCTTATCGTAGGTTGCAAGTTGGGGTGCGTCCATGTTGAAACGAAATGTTCTGGCTATGTCTTTTGCACCTCGAGACAATCATGAAGCACAGGTACAGTTTGCATTGGAACGAGGTGTACCTGCTGTTATTGGTGTTCTTGGATCTATAAATCTTCCATATCCATCAAGAGCATTTGATATGGCTCAGTGTTCTCGGTGCCTAATACCTTGGACTGCAAATGGTAAGTCATAGTAATGAACATGCTAGCTGTGAAATTGTGTGATACTTCTGTTCTATTTCACCCCACTTTTATGCATCATTATTAATTATTCATGAATGGTTAGAGATCGGAATTAAATGATAAAAGAAACGTCGGAGTTTAACAGTACCATGAATTTGATAACCTTTCTAGTGTGTTCTGGTTTATTCAGATGGGATGTACTTAATGGAAGTTGATAGAGTCCTAAGGCCTGGTGGATACTGGGTATTGTCTGGCCCTCCAATTAATTGGGAGACCTACTACCAAGTTTGGAAGCGATCTAAGGAAGATCTAAAGGCTGAGCAAAGAAAGATCGAAGAGTTAGCTGAACGTCTTTGCTGGGAGAAAAAATATGAGAAGGGAGATATTGCTATTTGGAGAAAAAAGGTTAATGAAAAATCCTGCCGCAGGAATTCTGCCAATATGTGTAAACCAAGGGCCACCGATGATGTTTGGTGAGTTAACTTGCCCAACAGTTCCATTTATTTACATTTGCATTCCCTAATCAATATTGGTTTGCTAGTCAATAAGAACTTTGTTGTTTCATCATTGATTTACAGTATCATTTCCACTCCCGACTCATTTATTTTGCGAGTCATTCTGATTTTATTTTTGTATTGCCACTTAAATTCTTACTTCTTTGGCATTTTTTAGGTACAAAAAAATGGAAACATGTGTTACCCCTTTCCCTAAGGTCAGTAGTGCAAGTGAAGTGGCAGGAGGGGAATTGAAGAAATTCCCAGCTAGGCTTTTTGCCGTTCCTCCTCGGATATCCAAAGGACTTATCGAGGGGATCTCAGCTGAATCTTACCAAGAGGACAATAAGCTTTGGAAGAAGCATGTAAATGCTTACAAAAGGATAAATAGATTGATTGGTACTACAAGATACAGAAATGTGATGGATATGAATGCTGGTCTCGGAGGATTTGCAGCAGCTCTGGAATCACCGAAGTCTTGGGTGATGAATGTAGTGCCCACCATTGCCAAGGACACCTTAGGTGTTGTCTATGAGAGAGGTCTCATTGGAATATATCACGACTGGTATGTCTCAATCGATCTTCTATGCGGTCTGTAATTATTGAATTCCCTTCTTCTTTTGTCATCCTAAATGCAAATACATTGTTTAGCATAGGGAAGTAAGTAGAACAATGAGGTTTACCACACCGATTTTATTTATTTTGTGGTATGCAAACCAGTGGAAAGTAGACTTGATTGTAAGGCTTCTCTTAGAAAGTCTTCATACATTAACAACCGGTTTCATGATGATGTTGATGTCGGACTCGCGATTTGTTAAATAAATTACTAAGTTTAATTCATATCAACGAAGGCCTTTATCACAGTGATTGAGGGCAATGGAAGTCATTGGCCGTATCGTATAGCTTTAGAAACTTCAGAAACGAACCCCACTGACTCTGCGACATTTTCATTTCTTACTTGTTGCAGGTGTGAAGGCTTCTCTACGTACCCGAGAACGTATGACCTTATCCATGCTAATGGTGTCTTTAGCTTGTACCAAAACAAGTAAGTCTCTTATCCATCGTTTTCTAGTGTGCCATTATTAGGAATCGAAGTAGTCAATATCGTTCAACATATAATTCAATACACATCCAGTTTAACCATGTTACATCTTTTAAGCCTTCTAAAATTAGATAATAATAAATGTTAGTTTTGATGAAGTGGAGTGTTATAAGTCAGTGGCACTATGTGAA